CCTCGTCTTTTAGAAAAAAGATATAGAGTAAGCTACTAGGGTAATATATATGGAGGTAATATGTATATTTCTGCTATCTATTTTTCTGGCTTTGAGTGATAAAGTCTCAAGAAGATAGGATTTTTATTTTACATCAACACTTTTCTATCTGAGTTAATATAAAGAGCCAAGATAATTTGTTTGTTTACAAACTTCTAAAGTACTTAATTGTATTATATACTCAAAGATATAAAAATGGCTTGCTATACAAGAAAATTATTGACAACAAGATACAATATGTTTATTAGCTTCATTCATATCTATAAGGAATAGTTTCATAGGAAGTATTTTTGAATTTTTTTGCATAGCAAATTGGGAATCTATAACTCTGTTTTCTATATACTGGATAAAAATTTTCTTTCTTTTTAGTTAAACGAAAAATATTCCTGTATATATATCAAATAATTAGTATTATTATTATAACAAGAATAACAAGCTTAACAATAGAGAGAATCTGATACTTATAATTAACCAAAGCTTTGCTAGCATCTAATGTCACAACAGGTAATGTTTTAATCTCTCTTATTGGTATATTATTATTGCGAAGCAATGACCCTTCAGATCTATTCTTTATCTTAGATATAATATACTTTGAGCTTATTTTGGGAGAAATGTTACTTCGTATCTGCTTATTATTTATCTACTTCTTATTAGAGATTTCTGATTCTTTAGGCATATTATCATTTAAACTGGTTAAAGTTTGTTGAGTCAAAGATTCTTGGATATCTCTATCTACTTGACTATTCTCTGTCTTATTGTAAAGCAATAACTCTTCGAGTCTAGGCGCATATACAAAATATTTTGCAAGAGATAAAGAATTCAGATCCTTTGGCAGAGACTGCATAACTGATATATTATCATCATTTTTTCATCTGTCTTACCTCTGATCTTGACTTGTTCTAATAATAATCTATTGTAGGGCAATAGATCTTTGAGTCTAGTTTTTAAGGAGCATATCTCTGAATTTTTTTCAGTCAAATTATTTTTATTAGTTCTAATTCACCCTTTTTTA